CAAATAGGCTCTTCTAGTGTCCGGTGCGGTGTGGCTTCGCAATGGGATCACCATTTGGAATCGAGTTGACCAGCAAACAATGTTCAGTGCCATTCTTCTCTTTTTGCCGGGTGTTGGTAACCAAATGGTATCCACTCCAATCGTGTGGTTTGGAGGTAACTCTTTTGGGGGTGCGGCAGCTCTAGGTGGTCGCACTAGTTGATGTTGTTGGCACGTTGCACATACCAAATTTTTTGCATAGTCGATCGCTTTCTTGGAGGCGTTGGCGTTCTTCAAGATCCTTGCCAATCGATCATTTCCTGGATGTCCGAGACCTTCATGAGCTCTCCTGACCAGTTGCTCTGTGGTGAATGGTCGCTCTCGAGGTAGATATGTTTTCTCTCTTTGTGATTCATTCTCTTCTTGCTTTTCTTCTCCTTCTTCTGGTAGGGCGTGCACTTCATGTTCCATGACGTGGGTGAACCATGCCCATTTCCTCTGCCAATTGATTTCCCGATCTTCTAGCTCTCGGCAATCATGGGTTCCCAGCCATCGGATCTCTAGATTGTCTGCCTTCTCGTCTTCCTTGATGGACCGGGCATATCCTCTTAGAATGGCTTGGACCAAGCCTTCTGGATATCTTTGAGCTTGTCGCGCACGGCTCTCACCATGGCATTGTCCAAGGACAGGTACATGTTGATGTGCTCCATCACAACGTTTCTTCAATTGATCGGCAATCTCCTGCCGATTGGTGACCCAGCCAGTTCTCTTCTGCATGGGTTCTCCATTTGCATCATGTAGTCCATATTGGCATTGATCACAGGTGCTCAAAATACTTTCTTCATGTTGTAGGATCTTCTGTAGGGCTCGTTCTGTCCATGCTCTTGAGGTAAGTGGCTGTTCTAGTAGGAAGGCGCCTCCGTACTCCATGATTTGTGTGATGATTTCACATGCAAAGTTCAGAAGAATTCGGGCTTCCCTCAATCGACGACGGAAGTCCTTCTTCATCACGTTCATGTTCTGCATGATGCTGAACAAAGTGCAGGGCGGTGATATCACGGTCAAACCTGGTTTGAGTTCTTGAATGAACCTCTTTACCCTATCTCTTTCTCGTGGATCAAGAAGTTCATCTCCAAGTTCTAGGTCAAATGCTGCCGATGCAATGAGTCCTGATCGGTGGCATTGCGGAGCGAAGCGCTTCGGGTTGAAAATCTCGACAACTGTCTTTGGGGATCCCTTAATCATCCTAGCATAGTGTTGGTGGACCCGCGTGTTGGACTTGATGCGCTCTAAGTTTTTCTCTACAGCACAAAGTGGTTCATCCTCTCTCAGAAGCGTCATAATCTCCATGATGTAGTTCTCTGCCATCTTCAATGAGGCTTCCATCGCTTTCCGATTCTTTTCCCCAAGTTCTCGCCAAGGTCCCAGGCTCATCATTTCTTGTTTCCTCCAGTTCGTTGTTTTTCTTTCTCCTTCTTCCACTTCTGGTACTCGAGGAACTCCGCGAACTCGGTCTGGTCCTTCTGCTGATCTTCTCCTGGTTCCATCGATGGGGATTCGATCTCCTTCTTGATGGATGTTCCCTCTGATTCCGATTTCCTCTCCGATTTCAGAGTCTTGCCGCACTGAAGACACTTCTCCACCGTGACAAAGGCATTGGTTCCTCGCTTGGATGTACGAGTATGCTTGCATTTCTCCATGTCGATCTCCTCCAACTCCTCTGGCTCCTTCTTGTTCGTCTTCTTCTTGATTTCCTGTGGAAATGCCTTCGGTAGTGGAGCCTTTGTCATCAGTTCGGGTGGCGTGCTTGGCGTCACAGATGTTGCTCGATAGCTGGAGGGACTCTTCTCTTCGGAGGCTGTTGGTGGTGTTTGGCTGACCGGGGAAATCGATCTGTCGGCTTCTGAGATCGTCCTGCTCTGTCCCGGGCGGAGTGCTCTCGGCCAAAGACTGAAGGCCTTGTTCCACCCATGAGGCTTGATCTGCTCCCACCCTTGATCCTCCATGTCGGTCACCTCGACATCGGTGTCGTCCATCGTTCTCATGTAGATTCTCTCCCCCATCAGCGACAAGGCCAATTCGGTCAGGCGGAGGATCACAAAAAGCATGCGAGCCACTAGTCTTGCCCAAATGCTGTCGTACTTGTTTTCCTCGATGCGGCTGCGCTTCATGGCAGTCGTCCGTCGGGATCACTGAGCTGGATTCCGTGCTTGGGCTTTTGGGTTCACAGCTTGAACCATGGGGGGCATCGTTTCCGATTTTCAGCACCTCGAACTCGGCTGAATCGTTCCGCAACTGTTCATGTAGTTGGTGTAACCGGTCAGTTTGATCCTTCGTGAATTGGTTGAGGGGGACTCGTAGTGCTCCTGTTGGACCGAGGTGGCAATCAACCCCAAACCCAAACCGTCGAAGGAACAATCGTAGTCCTTTTTGAGGATCGAGATAAAGAACCGACCGACAATGAAGTAGGAAGGGCAGTGAAATAAGAAACGGTGCCTTCTTGGATTCCCCTTCTTGAAAGATTGCTGGCCTCAAAACGCTACCTTTTGTGCCCAGACTCGTCGGGATGGATGCCAAATGTGACGTGGATGTAGTTTCATTCACCGACCGAAACCGATGTTCTTGAGGTATTCGTCCAACTCCCAGATTTTGTGGTAGTTGTCGGGCGAGACGGTAGAGCGTTTCTTCGACGGCCATACGTTGACATCCAGTGTCAATGGTTGCACATCCATCATCGTGGTTAGCTCCTTCATGGTTTGATGTTGAACTTGTCCGACGACGATGCGACAAGGTCCTGCGGTGGTCACTTGGCTTATCATGATTCTCGGTTGCTCTCCCCCGCAAATCAGAATCACCCCTAACAAACAAAACCTCATGACTAACTTTCCCGATATCCCCCCCCAATAGCAGCGCATTGGACCTTATATCGGGATTGAGACATGTTCATGTCTCCAGCTACATCGTGGGAGCTGGTCACCACTTCAAAAAGATCGTCTTGCGATCCACCCTCGGGCTCAGCTGGGCTTGAACTCGTTGAAGGTTTGGCCACCGACGGAGGCATCAACGATGTTGTCACCGCATCCTTCTCAACGTCGGAAGATTCTGGCCATCCCTCAGGTCCATCATAGTTCTCCACCAAGTGACGGTATTGTTCACCATAGATTTCTCTCTCCTCTCTTTCATCGGGATCCGTGAGGAGGAACAGCTTTTCGTCGTTGAAGTCCTTCATGTCTGTCTCCTCGGCTTCAGGGAGCACTTCAAGATGTCCGCAGAAATAGGCCTCTGCGGTTGGATCCTTCGGCATCGCCTCCATGTAGTAGGTCTCCTTGACGTTGTTCTTTCCTCGACCCTTGCCTTCTGGACATTCTCGATGCCAATGACCGATTTTCTTGCAGATTGCGCATCTACTGTTCTGTTTCAAGTGGTCGATCATCTTTCCTTTTCCTCCTTTTCCCTTGTCTTTTCCTGAGCCTTTCCAGCCGCCGAAGCCTCTGGCGAGTTCTTTGGCTTTCTTCAGCTTCAGGCTTTGACTGAATGTGCGTTTCTGGTACATGGTGTTCAAGATCTCCTTGACCTCATGTTCATCTAGTACCTCTTCTTCTGCGTCATTTCCATCCTCTCCCGGGTCACCGTCCTCCTCGTCATTCAACTCTTCCAGGACGGCCTCGAGAATCTCGTCCTCGTCGTGGTAGTCCAGGTTCTCCTCTGCATTGAGGTGGTGCACCGAGGTAGTCGAAGAACTCCCGGCGGTAGCTTTGCTCTTGTTTTTCATGACCTCAATACCGACCTCCTTCGCCATCAGCTTCGTCTCGTGTTTTCGAAGCCATTCTTTCACATCCTTGGTGGCGATGCTGCCTCTTGTGAAATTCATCATATTCTTGATGTCCTGGTCACCTAGATTCAAGGCGTTGATGAGCAAGAAGCCTTTGTAAGCATCTGGGAGGACCACTTGGTGAGTGGCCACCCGTCTCATGGCCTCTTCCCACCTGTTGAAGAACACTCGATGACCTTCAGTTCGGTCTCGTCGAATGTGGTAGGTCACCTTGGCCAACGAACTCAACAGATCCTCCTCCTTGTCTTCCCCGAAGTTCTCTGGCTGATCCATTGCGGCTAGCAGGCGATGCCCTCCTTGTTCATCTCGAAGCCATTCCATGTCCTTGGCCCAATGTTTGAACGTGTGGAAGGCCACTCCTGAAAGACCTTGGAGAATCAGAGGACCCTGAGAGGTCTTTCTTACTTTTGTAGTCGCCAGCCATAATCTGGCTTTGATCAACCAGTCCTGGAATGGCGTGGAGTCGCCATCCCATTCAGGCGGTTTCGCCGACGAGCCACCGCCTTTCCACTCATCATCTTCCTCACCACGTCCTCGTCCGCGGTCTCGTTCTCGAGCACGGCGTCGACGTTCTTGCACGAACTCTCGAAACTCATCACTGTCAAACTCGTCAGACATCCCGGCTCCTGCCGGGGAAAACTCCTGGCCTCGCACCCGAGACCTTGCTGATCCCGCAACCGCGGGTTCACCTTCAACTCCATCACTACCATCACTTCTTGGCACAGGAGGTGTGCCGACGTTCGCCATGGCTCTACACGCGTAACCCTGGAGCTTGGAGCTCCGCTACCACTGTGGATAGCATGGCAGAGCGGTCATTTTTGCCGCAGAACACAGGGTCCTCTTGCCCAGCTTGATGTGGAACGCGAACGGTACACTTCTCGATTGAGACGTGTTTTGGTCAAAGGAGTCCAATGCCTGATTCACACATACATATAAGCCCTTAAGCTCCACCTCACTGGGACTGGGCTGGTCCATAGGCTGACCCTCGTTGGGCTGCCACCCCCTTTTCTCTAGGCTAGCCACCCCTGGGCCAGTGAAACGCCTCGGCGCAATCCCTGCCTGCCTTTTTTTATGTAAGTCAGTCGCCTGTTGTGGCCCCCAGATTTTGGATGTTTTGACTCTGAAGAGATGTGAACAAGAAGTAAGGAACATCTACCAGAATTGGACCACCACCGCCCGCGGGCCGGAGGCCGAAGAGCCGACCGCGGTGCCAGAGACCTTGCTCCTTGGGCCGCAAAGGCGTCGGGCCAAGGGCGGCTCCGGCACATAACAAGCGCCCATTCGGGCCGGGGGGGGACCTCCCCGGCATGAGCCAAGGGTGTGGACGGCTAGGCGGCTAGGCACCGGCACTTTGCGGAGATTGGATCTATTTTGACGATGAAACATCCTGCCCCCCCATTGAGGCTTTGTCAACAGAAACGACCAGCTTGTTTAGCAAGTGCGTCTAGTTGTCACCCTAGAAGTAGACAGTAGGGACTCTTGGTTGCCTGACCCATTCATTGGTTCCCAGTTTGGTCCTCAAGCAGATGGACTGTGGGCAATCCATAGCCAAAAGAGACAGGATCATGTTTTACGACTTTGCCTGGGATTACTTGAGAGATTTATGATGTGACCTGACTCCTCTTTGTGAGGTTCAAGCGCGCCAAGCTTGAAGGGAAGCCAAAGGCGGACCTGTCTTGTTGGAAGTGGTATGTTCGACTCGGGCGAAGCATAGCCCCCCAAAGCATGCCCCATAGTCAAACGTCCCGGCCGCAGAATGTCAAAATTCTACACGGCCATTTGGATATTGGCTGAAAAAGACTATGTAGCCAACATCCTTTTGCATGATTCCCTCAAAGGCCTCCTTATCCTCCTTCAGATGCCCCACACATATCTCCAAAGTTTATATTTTCTGCAAAACCAACTGATGGTCCTGACCGACTTTAGAATTTCCACTTGGTACTTACCGAGATGTGTTTTCTTTTTAAGGCAAAGACAACGACAACACGACTTCAGCATGATCCCAGAGGCCTCAGCGACATGGATTCCACGATCACATCGGCCCAGCGCAGGCTCTGACTGCAAAGGTGTCAGCAGCTGAGTAGGGTTCCGGTGAGACAGTGATTTTTGAGAAGTGCGAATGTGGATGCCGGGATGCCCCACTTGAATTGCCCTACCTGGTGAATCTTTCTTCATCAAGAATTGCCGTTACCAAACCATATCTTGGCAGATGATCTCTGGCACCAGCTGCGTGCTCCTGACCTTGCCGGTTTTCAGGCCGCTTCCAAAGAGTCGTTCTGCGGCCGAAGGCGCAAAGACCGGGGCAAAGACCGGGCGCCGATGTCCAACCGCCGATGTCCAACCGACGATGTCAGCAGGAAAAACGAAGTGTCCTACTTGACTGGTGTGGTCCCAGATTGGAAGCTGCCACCATGGCACTCGGGATTTTTCAGAGACATTCCCTCTGACGATGGTTTTGGTCTTTTTTTGGTGTCTTTCGAATGCGTCGCGAAGGGTTCTCGTTTATAGTTCTAGTCTGGGGGTCTGGGGGCGCACGACCTGTGTTCGCCTCGTCGTTTCACTCCGTGTCCCCTCGGACTGGTCGCGCTCTCGCACTCGCTCGAAGCACCGTTGAAAAAATTGGGATGGACGAAGTGTTCCGATTCGTGTGTTCGATTCGCGTAGAAGCGTGACATGCTCCTTCGTGTGAAGGATGTTTTGCTTTGCAGGTGCAGTGTGTCGTGAGGCCAGTGCGCGCCTTGCGTCGATGTGCTCCTTGCGTCGATCGGCATGCCAGCAGGTTGCTGTGCCAACAGGATTTGCTCTTGAAGCGCTTGCCTCTAAGCTTTTTCTTTTTTTGACAAGTCTCAGGTAAAGTGGCGATTCTGATTTGAAGTAAGTGTGTTCAGAAAGTGTTGAAATCATTCGAAACGTGTGGCGTGGTGCAAATTTAGCTACGTAGTGAAGTCAAGGTGTGGCATAGTCGCTTTCTGGGCAGGTGCAGCACTTTGTATGTGTTGGAGGTGCTGGGATGCAGTTTTTGTGGCAGGTACGGGCAACCGTGAGGGCGCGACGTTTGGTGCAGGTCGATGTCGATGTGCCATCAAGATCGGTGTCAGCGGCTGCTCTGTTGAGGGGCTTGGATTACCAAGCTGCTTTCGTGATGTGTTCGCTCTGATGAGACTTCCCGCTTCACTTTTGGACAACAATTATCTCGGCAGAAATGCTAGTTTTGGAGGTCACTTTTGTGTAATTGTGACTGACATGAAATAGAGGCTTGGCGTGTGGCTTTCAGAGAAAGTCTTGTACGTCGTTTCGGAGACTTGACGGGTGACTTGTGCAGGAAGCCTCGCACAAAATTATCACCTCACTTTCAGAGAAGGTCTCGTGCGAAATGCTCGTTTTTGGAGACTTGACCGTTCACTCCTGAAGTCTCGTACCAAACGCTGACTTTGCAGACGTGACGCGGTCTTCAGTGCCCTCCAAAATTGCCGCGCAAAAGAGATGTCCCATAAGAATAGATTTGTCCCACACAAATGTCCCACAATAGTGTATAAGTAAGCGTGTCCCACAAGAATGTCCCACATCCCGCAAGAGTCCTACGAGAGGACTTTAGTCGAGTGTCCCACAAGAGTGTCCCCTAAAGTTGTCCCACTAGACTTACCTGTTAGAAGGTGTCGCACAAGAGTGGCGTGCAAAAGTGTCATAGAAATGTGTCCCACAAGTGCGTCCTAGAAGAGTGTCGCCTCAGACCTCAGAATGAATGTTTTCCAACATTTTCTTGGAAGAGTGTGAAGACAACTCTTGGCTGTCTCTGTTCGTGTACGTGTTTGCATTTGGGTTTGGTGGGTTTGTATCAGGTCTTCTTGTTCTGGTTTGGCCCGGAAACCGGGGGGCTGGCCTTGTGGTGAGAGTTGACCTAGAGAGACTGAACAGAGGAAGAACGTGGCAAAATACGCGAGCCAACAGCTTTTCTCGAAGCAGGTCGGAAGAACGTGGCATGCTTTTGTTGACCCAAACATAACGCTGATATACGCTGATTTCTGGTTTTGGAGAACCTGGGCCAAGGCCTTGCAAAACATTGGTTTCGGAGTGAACCCGTTCGGGGCGAGGATTGTTAGCATTGTGCTTCTCAGTTGCGTCCTTGGAATATTCCCCCAAAGGGACTGCAATCCATCCGCCGGTCGTGCAGGAAACCATCCACAAACGAATACCTGAAATTCTTAGCAAAAACAACTATTTTTCATCTTGCCAGGTTGGCGTGTACTCATGCACAATCAGTCGCGATCATAAGAGTAAGGAAACGCCTGATAGATCTCATGTTGAGACTCGCGCCTGACTCGAAGCTATGCTCTACCAACGACGTCTAGGCAGCCACTTGTCCTTGGCTCCGGTGCTCCGACAAGGGCTTCGTGCACAGGCGACAAGGGACAAGGGGGATAGGCAAGAGAGCCCTTAGTGATTCTCTACAGGTGGCAGCCCTACATTTTTGAGATGTTTGTAGAAAGAGACAGGAGGCGGGAAACTGGGTGGCTCCTACGTGGATAAACTGAATACAACAGATCGTGGATGGACATGAGTCATGAGGCTGTGTCAAGTCGCTTTCGTCCATTGTTTTGGGCCACCTGTTGCCAGGTAGGCCTTCGCTGCTCGTCCCTCCCAACTAGTGGTTTTGTATGGTTTTGTGCATTTTTGCAAGGGGTCGCCTAAGTTCCAAGGTACACACCGTTCCCGCAGTTTTGAAGCTGTGAGGGTTGCCGAGTCCAGACTTGGTGGTTGTGTTGGGACCCGTAGAACGGGCATGGGTTCTGTGCTACCATGTGCTACCAGAAACCCTGTAGCCTTCGACAAGAAACCACTGCAATGGCAAAACGGCAACTAAAGCAAGTCTTGAGAAAACACCGTGGAGCCGACTGGTCGAATTCCGATTCTCCGAAGTGACCTGTCTTTCGCCGATTTCTCCGAAGGACACCAAGTCGCTGACTGAGACACTACACCTCCACGATCGGAGTGTGATGGACTGCTGGCTGATTGGGCGCACCATACAGTAACCGATGGTGAAATGACATATGGTATAGCGGTGTTGATTCCCTTCGATGGAACCAGTTCCCAGCTCGAGCTTTGGGTGGATCCATGGTGGACCCCATGTTGAGGATTTTGTTCTTTGATGTTCTTTGTAATCCCTGACAGATTTGGGGTTGTTGAGGTCCAGAAATCGCAGTTTCTGGCTCTCCCTTACCTGGCATATTTGCTTTTCTTTTCTTTTACCTGGTCCAGATCGCCTTAACCCGATCCCAGATTGTCCATGGTGCTGGCGTCAACAGCTGCGCCGGGCTGTTTCTTCCAGTTTGTTGGCCCCCTTCCAGTTGGACCAAGTTTCGGCAACTGATGACCCCCTTGCAGGCCTGGTTCCCTAGTTTGAGACAAAAGAAATCGGCGGTTGTGGCAATATCCATCCTGCTGAACAAACACTGGTGGGTTGTTATGCTTCTGGGGTTTTGGATTCCATCCTGCTGCATGAAAAACTGGATGAACCACTTCCGGCAAAACAATTTTGCGACTGCATCGGTCCGCAAGCGCGTAAGGACACCTCAGTGAGTGAGCTTAATGGTGTGGAAGCCTTCGACCTGCTGCAGGAATGTGTTGGGATGCCCCAACGAGATGTCTGCGTGGCGGACTAGAGCTCCAGTTCTCATCGGAAGGGTCAGGGTTTTTCCCGATGCGTCGCGTGGTTCACTGGTGGTCCAGGTGCTGTTCGTGTTAACAATTCACAACGCTTGTTTTCCCTCTCAGGGTGGGAGGGTGCAGGGTGCTGTTCGTGTCGTGCCGTTTTGTTCGTGCGGGGTAACCGGGGGATCCGAACGGCCTGCTTTCTTCGGTAGGAATGGAAGCAAAGCTGTGGACTTCGTCCGGTTTTACCAGTGAACAGAGGATCAATGACTGTTCGATCATCTAGATGCCGATATCCAACGCTATTGATCGATCTGGGGTTCTTGAGGAGAGTACTATATATTATTTATAGATTTGAAGCATTGCCCAGGCCTTTGTGGAGCTGGACGGTATTGTGTAGAGAGCTTTGAAGATGTTTGCCAACCGTCCTACAGCAATGCTTTGGTTTTGGACAAAGAATTGGGCTCGATTCAATGAAGAACTCAAACGTTTTGCATTGTCCTATGACCTCTTCTGGCTGCCAATGGCCGCTTTACTTTTCAATTGTAGTCATACTGTCAAGCCTTTTTCGGTTGCCAAGGGTTTATTGGAGCACCCCACATGGATCCACCAGACAACGAAGCGTCCCACCCTGGATCCCCGTTCTCCCCGCAAAACCCACCGTTTTCACGACGCGTCGGAGGGATCGGTCCGCACCACCCACCCGAGGCCAGGCGGGTCAGGTATCTTCCAGAGCACACGACGGCCACTGGGCGGCCGGGAGCGGGCCAAGCAGTTCTTGCGGGGTCGAAGAATCTGAAATCCGTTCAAGAACTGACGGTGAATCGCGACTAGTAACAAGTGCATCGCTAGTAGTAACAAGTGCATTGCTACTAGTAACAAGAAGCTACTAGCAGCGATGCATTCATGAATGGTTTTGGATGGTTTTGGCAAGCTGGGGATTGACTGGTCGCTGGTGAAGAAGCTGCACGACGTTGGGGGGGTCATCTCCTGCAAGCTTTGTCTGGGCGGATGTTCCTTCAAGCCATGGTCTAGTCGGAAGAAAAGGATGCGGCCGTGAAAGTTGGCCAGTGATACGGTCATCCTTTCTGTGCTTTTCACCTGCCAACATCGACTGTGACCTCTTGAGGATGTTGGATGAGCGGCCTTTCTTTTTGGCTGTTGGACGCAAGGCTTGGGGTCTAAACCCAACCCAAAAACCATGTGATTTGTATTTCTTCTGTGGAGTTCGATGGCAGGATCTGAAGGCAAATAGTGATAGATTTGGATTACACCTGAAGTTTGAGCCATGCCTTCAATACTTAATCCCAAAAAAACGGACTCTTCTTTGGGCCCCCTCCTCCCACTCCAACGGCTGACTTCGGAAACCGAGACTCGCACACATATAGAACGACATCTCTTCATATACAGGGTTAGAGAATGACACCTTGCGCTTTAGGATTTAGGATTGTTGATGACTGCCCGGCTTTCCATGGTTTTACTCCATGCCTCCTCCGGACTTTAAAAGCTGCAGTTTCTTGGCTGAAACCCAATGGCCCTTCTGTCTGCTTGGATGGCTTCCGCCATAGCCAGGCTGTTGCATGTTCTCTCACCCTGTTGTCGAGGTCTATTGTGCTTGGATCCAGCGGATCGTTCAGCATCACGGTCGCGGGGAACCGGGGACAGTTAGGGACATTGGCAAGTGAGATTGTGTGTGTCGGCTTCTGCCGGGAGAGGAAAGACCAGATGAAAAGCTCCCGTATAGTGTGAGTTGCTGTGGTCAAATTTGCATTTTTTTTTCATTATTTTTAGTTGATCAAAGGCATGAAAGCACAAAGCTGAGGCCTCCAAGTCCATAATTTGTCCTAGCCTTGGGCGGATCCATACCCGTGCTTCCATTTTTTTCCGATAGCCGGTTATATACGTATGAACATTTTCTGGTACAAGGGCCATTTGTTGGGCTATTTTGAGCTTGAGGGATGATGGGGGGCATTTGAGATGATGTGAGGTATTCTGGAACTTGTGAAGCAATGTGGGCTGATTGAGCAACCTTGTCAGTTGGTCATCAGCAGTAGCCATGGATGGTTTTAGCACTCGGATGAAAACGGGGGGCACCCAAAGCGTCCCAAAGCACATGTTGAGAGATGTTGAGAGGGAAAAAACTAGGAAAGCACTCGTGAGCAGTTGTTGGTTGGAGGTTGCTGCTACTTGAGACGCTCACGTATACAGTGAACTCATTGAAGGTCCTGGAGCTGTGGTCAATGGCCCAATGGACATCACCAAGCCAAGAGCTGCGAACATGGTGCTCCTCACAAACGCTTTCCGATGTTTTTCTCATTTCCAAGGGCAACTTGACCTCCGAGTTCGGAGCTGCCAGGGAGCTTTCTTCGATCACAGCCAGTTCTAGCGGATGAGACCAGGCAATCTGGGACGGTTTGATCGGTGTGCGTTTCCTGGCATTTGGCGGTGAATGGATTTTAGGAAAACTGCACCGAGCTCAGATTTGGTTCGAGCTATGGATCTTAGCTTCTGGACATATCTTTCCACATCATGGTTTTGAAGCGACTAGTCGAAACGACATGTGACTAGTCGAGACCAAGTCTTTTTTTCATCCATCTCACTTGAGACTGACCAATGGCTGAGGGTACACCCCAAAAGGACATGGATGCCTTGAAGAACTGTTTGGGCCACCTGCGGTTTATGTTGGTGGGAATTACATAGTTTGTAGAGATATATGATGGATTTATATATATATATATAAAGTCGGGAAACGGCCTATTGATTCCGGATGGATTCCGGATGGTTTGTGCTTCAACGCAGGGCGTCACTGAGGCTCTAGAGGCTCTAGGTCTGCACCTTGGTGAGAGGTAATTCTCAATCCTTGGTGGTGAAACCTAAGCTGCAGGGAATAGACAACGAGTCTCAGGTGTCATGGTGCCTCATCCTAATGGTGGGTGCTCTATGTTTGCAGTGTCACCCCCTGTGGTGTCTGCGGAGTTAGGGCTAGTTACCTCAGACTAGAAACATCTTGGCAGACTCCAGAGGACTAACATCTGTGGATTTGGTTCTGCTGGCAGTCCTGTACTCCTGGTGCAGTGGAAAATCATATCCGGAAACAACATATTTGGTGCTGTAAACACCGTTATTACACATGTCTAGCTGTTTTGCCGACTTTTGGACGATTCGGGTTCCGCCTCGTCCTCGTCCTTGCCCGGCCCCCTGGGTACTGCCGGAAGGTATTTTTACGACCATGCCCGGCTCCGCTGCGTGGGCGGTCTCAGATGTGTCTCATGGGATGTGGGGAGGGGTGAGACAGTGAGACCCAAAAAGAAGAGCGAAACCGGTACCCCAAAGTTTGAAGAGTGGTCTTTTCTTCTTCTTATTCTTCTTCTATTTTTTCCAGGGGGTGAACTGATTCGATTTCGACACCACTCCTTAGAACGTTTCGTTGTGGAGAAGATTGACAAGGTGTGATTGGAACCATGGGCAGTTTCCACGGTGTCCGAGAAAGAATCCAGTCAGTTCGTTCTAGAGGTTTAGTGATCTCTGCTTTCCTCGAGCTCTGGTTTGACCACCTGAGAGTTGCAGGATATCCCACTTACCATTTTCAGGGTTGGTAATTTCCAGCTAGTACTCGTACAGGATTCTCGAACAGATTCGTGATGTTGAACAGGATACTCATACAGGAATCAGGCGCTTGAGATGGACAGTCGCTTCCCTCAACCCATCAGACTGTGACCGGCCCGGTGGGACTCGAAAAGAACCTCAGGCCATGTACCGGCACCTCCTGCGGATCCGTGGACGGCTGCTTCACGCTGTCAATGAGGGGCAGAAGGCCCCGGTGTGGTCCTTTTTTGGCGGTGTTGACCATATTCCTTTTGAATATGTTTTAGTGGAACATTGGTCCTGGTCTTTCCATGCACTTCCACCCAGTTTCCTGTCAACCCTCGAGGGAGTCAGTCAGAGGGAGTCAGAGCATTTCGGTCCACTGTCTCAGGTGGTGGCAAGCAAAGACGAGGTCATCAAGCCGCTGCCGCTGGGTCTTTCGAAACCGGGGCGTCCGGAACTCGTGAAGCAAGGAGCCCAGAAGGAACCCTAAATGGACATCAACACAGGAGCAACCGTTCAAGCACAGTTTCTAGAGCAGAAGACGTGAGTGGCCTTCAATCTTCATAATCTGCGGGGCCCCCCCCAAAAGCGATGCCCTAGCAGAACATGAAGGACTAACATTGCCCAAGTGTATTCGTTTCAGATCTGTTTGTTTCATGTTTAGTAGCTTCTTTGATCTGAAGCGGAATTCAACTGATGATGCCAGTCCACCACTTGCCCACTTGAACATAGGGTGGTTTGCAACCAACAAAGATGTTGCAGCAACAGTTTTTTTGAATTCTCTTAGCTGCTGGCAGAGCTCTTCCAATGCCAGCGGAGCTTTGCTGTTGCCTTTGACAGGAGTGAGTTGACTTTTTGTTTTTTGTCTGCCTGTTTGTCTGTCTCCTTTGTGTGGTGCTCATACATACTTGTTTGGTTGACACCTGCCTCTAGTAACAAGAAAGCGACGGACTTTTGACCACACACATGAGGACGGATCACCACCTCCGAATGGAAGAGACGCCACAGAATTGCTCTAACAGTGGGACGACCTTGGGCAAACGACTTGGAAGGACTCGAGACGTTCCAACTGTCGGGGTCTCGGAGAACCCCACCGACCACCCCGGTGGGTGAGGAACACCACGAAAGGAATGAACTCCGGATGCGGCCTCCGGCCGTGACGGTTGTTCTCATCGGAGCGTGAGGTTGGAGTACGTCGAAGGGGATGAGGACTTGGAAGAGGAGGCTTCAGAAGAGGCGGTCATGTTCCCTCGGCTGCGAGGAAAGGATCCAACCATAGGTGTGGCTGAAAGTCGGGAGTGTTCCTAAGAGGTTTTTCCTGTGTCTCCCTGCTTTCAGGCGCGCTGATGTTTAAAAAACATAAGCGGTGGGTTGCATGATTTACCTTGTGCGTCCCCAGTTAGGACCAGAAACGAATGTACCAGCAAGCAGCATACACGTACTCACGGCTCTTGGGTCAGGCACCCCAACTACCACTGCATATATCAAGGATTTTGGGAGGGTTGTCAATATCTGTGCAAAGGTGTGATCGAGTAGCCGAGGACCTTGCCGTTGACGAACCTGTTTCATTGGTTTTCCTGCATGTTGCGTGTTCAGGTTTTGACCTAATCAGCAACCGAATCGTTAGCATGTCATGCTATTTCTATTTGTTTACACCAAAAAGTGGGATTGGGTGTGGTGTGACCACAGTGGTCAGGGGCCTTTCTCGTGACCAAAGATTTTGTTTGACAGAAAAGCACAACGATTCAGGAGAACAACTCCTGCACCTTTTCACCGAGAATATTCTATATCCATCCATATCCTGTCCTCGCATAGATTCTCCAAAGTTTCCTGCACCATAACCCCATAATCTTGTCCATCAACCATATTGGACGGACCAGAAATTCCGTCAGACCCAGCAATTTTCATCCCCACGTCATCTCACTTGGATGCTTCTTTGACTCGGAGCAACACATGTAGAAATTCCAATCAACCAATGACAAGACCTTTGGAGAAGTGATAACTGGGGACAAGCAGCTGACCTGAGTGTATCCCAGTTGCAGGAAAAAAAATCCGTTACAACAGGTGCGTGTTGTAATAAAACACTTGTGCCATGGTACAAACGCTTGTGTGTAGATGTTTGTAGTGGGTTAGGATGATTTGTTCCACACGTTCGGGGTTTGACCGTTTGACCGTTTGACCGTTGGTTTTGCCCCTCTGCATGGTCTCTGCATCGCTTCCCTGTCTCAGAAGCTGAGAGACAGCGACAACGAGGATGGCGACCTCGAGGATCGGCTTGGGCGGGGGATCGATCGGGGGACTTTTTGGCCGGCGACAGACGGGTAGTTTTGAGACGGGTAGTTTGGGGATGTTTTGGGTAGCTGAGGCACCAGGACACATTTAGGATCATTTAGGAGACTTTTTCAACATGAACATGAGAAATTGATGCAAAGCTGAAACTTCTTCCGTTTAGGAGCGTGTTTAGGAGCAGGTTGCCTGAGTTTGGGTCCCGTAGACTCACTAGACTCACTAGATATACACGTCGACTGGCATCCTGGTCCTCTCGCCGACATTTTTCACGTCTTTCGAATCCAAACCCCTCGAGTCCAGGGACTCACGTTGCCGGTAGTACAACTTGTGAACTGTTTTTTTGGTTTGGTAGTATCGACGAAGCATGTACACTACAATTATATACATACATACATACATACATACATACATACATACATACATACATTCAGGCTCAACAGCTCTTACCATTTCAAGTGCTTCACGTGCTGGGGAAAACACATGCAGCAATACTTTGGAGCTACCACACCATAGCTCAACTCAAGGGACCATAGTTGCAGGGGTGGAGCAACTCTACTCATTTTCACCGGATCCTCCCAACGAGAGTCCAATTTTGACTTCATCCTCTTTGCCTGCACCGGCGGCTCCACATGGGCCTTGCCTGACGCTCACAGGAGGTGCCTCAAGCACTCCAGCCACTTCCGCTGACACAGGAGAAAGGGCATCCTTCATGAGCAGCCATTACTACGCCTCGACCACGGACCTCCTACTCCAGAATTTGAGCATGGTGGTCGGAAATCCCAGTGCCAGGTGCTACGCCAATGCACCATGGCGTGCCTTCTGCTGGATGTGTGCCTATCTGGCGGAATTCAACCGCGATCCATGGGGAGTTATCAAGGATGCCGTCCAAACCTCCTTGGAGCTCTCCGAACCAGTTGACATCCAGCAACTGCCAGGCCTGCACCAGCTGTGGGAGAAACACAACCTGAACATCGAAGGAGACGCTGCACATTTTGTGCATTCCTTGTGGGTCCACTCCCAAACCCGCGTTCTCCAATATCGACACACTGAGATCAAGGAGGGTGGCTACATCACAGAGCACATCCAAGTCCCGCTCATTGTGGACTACCCTGATGAGTTCCTCGATGAAATCACCTGGCAAGAACTCATGAACTGCTGGGCCAACCAAGGCTATGGCCAGTACCTCGGGGACGACAAAATGGTCCACATCAGTCACATCAACCGCGCTGTCACCATCGACGGCACCGTGACAAAACACAAACGAGCCCTCAACCCACATGGACCATACACCGTCCCTCGCTCCCTTGATGGGTTCTCCAGAGCCAGTGCAGAGTACATTCCAATGGCGTACATCTGCCACAGAGGACCCACCCATGAGACTGGGCACTACTACGCCATCCTCGTGTACAAGGACCTCATGTGGATTGCAGATGATGGAGCCACTCCAAAGGTGCTTCCATTTTTGACACCACAAATTGCCGGCCAGATAGTGCAAGTTTGGGGAATCCAGACCACAGCACTGGTTCAACCAAGACAGATCGCCCGGGCTTTGCCACCGCCCGAAACCCCAGACTACGATCCGCCACTTCACGGCACACCGCCCAAGAAGGCACGGCACACACAAGAGAACATGCGCCTCCATGTTGCAAACATCACTGCTTTTGGGAAAAGCACTCTAGACTGGTACTGGTCCAGAGACAATGAAATCTATATCATGGTGGAGACCCATCTTGATCGGCAGAAGCATCAATCGATGTG